CAAGTAATACTTTGGGCTACTGCCTCTGAAAAGGTACCTGGAGAAAACAGAGCAACAGGAGAGCGGTTGCTGAGTTTGTGATAGGACAGAGCATTTACACAGCTGTAGTACATGAAGGGCCTAATTCCTTTCCAGCTGACAACCATTGAAACATCATTATGTGGGAATGACTGTCAGGTGGTGGGTAGCTGTATTTACAGACAGAAATGTCCTGAGCATTCAGGGAAGGAGTTGGCTGGAAGCTTAAAATGACATTTTTGAAAATTGTTTTAGCTTTTTCTGTCACGTTAGTTTCGTCATGTGGATTCACAGAAATGATGCTGCTGAGATGTTGCTGCCCTGTGTGCTAGGATGTGGTTTGTCCCACAAGCAAGGCTGCTTTCACGGTCCCCCATCAGCCCAGAGGCTGTTGGTGGGGCTTGTGGCAGGGTGGCTGGAAACTCCCATTTCAGGTGTGAACTGAAGCTCAGCAGTGTAAATGTTAGTGTTGAGAATTTTCATTAGTGTTTTCCGATACCAGTGAATGAGAAATTCAAGTGAATTTAGTTGAGGAAAATGTCAAAATGTTATCTGTCTCCTTGTTCCACTGGAGGTTACGGACACAGGAGGTGAAATATTAGCTACTTTGTGGCTTCAGCAATACCCTGGTATTGTGGTACAGCCAACCCTTGATAATGCCACTAATGTGCTAGGGTGAGCTGTAGTTCAGGCATATATCTCTGCTGCAGGTAGCGTTCAGCAGATCAGCTGATAGTTGGGGATAACATTTTAAGCTGCTGCAGCTAAACCCAAGGAGGCTTATTTTTTCAAGGCCAGATTTCTTTTTTTAATGATTATGGTTCTGGAAATACAATGCTGTTTTAATGCCATTTTTTTCTTGAGAGCTTTAAAGGTAGGGTGTTTTAAAGGCAAGATTTACCAGTATTCAGCCTTATTTTGATTCTCTTGATGCATTTTTGAAGGATTGTGACATTAAGCTTACTTGTGTGTAAACCTCTGAAAACTGTTAGCAGGAGTCCAAGCCTGCAGCCGGTTTACATGAGATAGACCAAAGTCATTAGAAATGTAGGAGTTTCTTTAAATGGTAAAAGAAATTTTACAAAATTATTCAGAAGGTGAATGTTTTACAAAAGTTTGCATTTTTGTTCAGTGTTCAAAAATAGATTAGGGATACTTAAGGATGTGATAAAGACTTGTACCAGAGCAGAAGAAAGTGGAGAAATTAGATTGTGTAAATGTTGGTCAAATCTGATAAAGTTGAGACAGGAAACTTACCAGTAGCAAGCTACATCTTTATCCATTAACATGCAGTAGTCAAGGTGGCAGTGGTCCTAATTCCATCTTTTTTTTTGAAAGAAACATTTTTCTTTTGGCATCTGTGCTTCCCATTGTATTCTGTATTTCAGAGCTCATACTCTTAATAGAAGAAGTTTTATTTCATGACATCCTTTTGACAGTTGAGAGATTAAATCCTGTAAAATGTATTAGGGGAGGTCCATGGTTCTGTGTAATTTTGAAGGTACTTTTAAAAATATGATTCTTGTTGTTAGGATGGAAGGCAAGGTATGGATAAATCCAGCAGGGAAAAATACTGCACTTGATGTTTTGGGGTGGTTTTTTTCTGTTGGGTTATGAAAGTATGAGCAGTCTTAGTAGGTATTTCTCTTGCATGTGCTGGTCCAGCTAGACACTGAAGGCGGCATCTGTGCTTCCCATTGTATTTTGTATTTCAGAGCTCATACTCTTAATAGAAGAAGTTTTATTTCATGACATCCTTTTGACAGTTGAGAGATTAAATCCTGTAAAATGTATTAGGGGAGGTCCATGGTTCTGTGTAATTTTGAAGGTACTTTTAAAAATATGATTCTTGTTGTTAGGGTGGAAGGCAAGGTATGGATAAATCCAGCAGGGAAAAATACTGCACTTGATGTTTTGGGGTGGTTTTTTTCTGTTGGGTTATGAAAGTATGAGCAGTCTTAGTAGGTATTTCTCTTGCATGTGCTGGTCCAGCTAGACACTGAAGGCTGGCTGATGGTGAGAATGCCTCAAGGCTGCCAGTGCTTCATTTGTTTCCTGCTATGCATTTGTTTGGCCCAAAACTGCCTTCCTGCTTTTCCTGTCTTTTGCAGCTGTTTTTAATATAAATACTAGCTTAGATATTTAAGGAATATACTGTGGCTTCCTTGAATGGGCGTAAACTGACTACTTGAGGAGGCAGGGTGTGGTTGCATCACTGTGCTGGAATTTGGGACCTACTGGCTGCAGTCGCACCTGTATCCCAGGCTTCCTGTGGGCAGCTCTGCCTGTCCTCTGTAAAGGGCTTGTCTTTTTCTTGACAGGTCTGAAGTATGAAGTTGAATGAGAGATACTGTAGAAATGCAAGTTTTCCATGTAAAGTGAGATGGGCAGGTTTTTCTACAGGACGTAAACAAAAGGCAGTCTGGAATCAATGCTGTTCATTTAACATCTGGTTTAAAAATTATACACCTTAAAAAATTTAATAAATATTTCACCTTTAAATATTTAGGGAAATGAAGGCGTGCTGTTTGGCGGTGTGAGTACTTAACTACAAAGAGTTTGAAGTCACTGGTTAGAAAAATCTTGAAAAATATAGCACTACAGATATGCGAGACACTTTACAAAGAACTTGGCCAAAACAACTGATTTATAGAAAGCTGTATAAAATTTGTTATATGTGAGAGTTTAGTAGAGATACAGGCAGGAGGGAAACCTGTGAATGTAAACACTTTTGCATTTTAGCTCAAAGAAATGCATATGGCATAAATATGGGTGGAGATTTCGCATGGTATATTCATGGCTGGGAGAGAATGCAGCATGATAGAATATCATCATCTCTCCATGCCTTCTAGCAGTTGTCTTGACAGGTAGGCAGTCCTTGAAGAATCTTAACTTAGTCATATACAAGTTGCACTCAAAATGAATTAAAGATCAACTTATGTATCTGACTTTTTCAGAAATTTAACTTTTTTTTTTGCTTTAAAATGATTGATTTCTGTATTGAAACAAGTCTTCGGAGCACGTAAGCATCTTGTGTTTGTATTTATTCTTCAAGATAATGGCAGCTTGTGGATTGATGTGAAATCAGTTGCTGTCACTCTGTGTTCTGATGCTGTTTGAAGGGTGAATACATACTGCCAGCACTGGCTGCATTCTACATGAGGGTTGCTCATGTAAAGACTTAATTTAGGAATTGTATCAGCGCATGAAAAACTTACTTTAACAGGTATTTTCCTGACCAGGCTCTGCATTTGGCTCAGTGCTATGTTTCTGGAAGTGGTCAGTGCTTGCCATTTCAGTGAAAGGATATGAAGCCTTTATTATATATTTACTCTGACTGTATTGTATACAGAGAAGAGGGACACTCCTTTCTTGTCTCATGAGCTCTCAGCTGGGAGCTGTGATGTTTACTGAGTTTTCAATGTCTAATCTGAGGTTTTGTGCATTGTGTACTCAATCTGTATTCCATTTAGCTATACTGCTTAGTCTGCCATAATTTAACACAGCTTTTTAAAAGAACAAGTCGTCTTATTGTGATCTTCTGGTTTCTTTTGAGTCCATCCTTGCATTCCTCAGGGTTATGAGGTACTTTTGAATACTCAGGTTATTCCTGTTCTAGTTTGTCACAGGCACAGTGAAAAATCCTCATCTGTCATTTCCCAACACAACATGATGGGAAAGCAGACGCGGGCCTTAATTGAGGCTGTAATTCTGTGTAGGCATTCATCTGTTGTCAGTACTCAGCTGAACACTGACGTGTCACTTGCCGCATGCACTAGTCAGACATCTTGATTCAGTTCTCTGTAGGACTTGGGCTTTCGTCAGCCAGTCAGTGTCAGATGCTTACATAAATATAATTGGTATGAGGTATAGTTCATTTTTTAAAATGCAAGTGGCATTCTATTTAATGTTTGGTGGTGTGCTGGTCTGTACTGCCAGTAAGTGAAAACTGGCCTTTTACGTAACAAACTGAAACTGTTGATGCTTTTTGTTTCAAGTGGGTTTAGCAACTGGATGTGCATCATTCTCAGAGTGGCTATGAGTCAGGTCAATGGTCTGTGGTAGTAAGCAAGTTCTCAACTGTATTAAATGCTTTCAAGATTTGATTATGAATTGTTTGGGCTTTTTCCCCAAGGAATATAGTTGGTTTATACAATTTAATTTGTTACTTTCAAATAGCTGTTGAACTGGTTTTGCTGAGCCTTGTTTTGTTTTCTATTTTGTGTTTTATTTTGTACGTTTAAATTTTCTTTGGGATGGCTGGCTTCTGGCATATCCAAAGGTAGAGTGTGAGTTTCATGAAGAAACAGTACTATTCAATCTGGAAAGTCACCTGCAGTGAAAATCTTGAGTTGATGGTACATGCGTGGCTAAAAATACATAGTTTTGTGTAAAGAAATACTGAGTTGCTTTAGATAATTGTAGTGATCTTCAGTCACAATTGTAACACTCGGGGAAGCTGACTTGTGTGCTTTACACTAAAAGTAATAAAAGAGTTAACATCCAGCCAAGCAAAGGATTTGTCTAGATTTCTGAAGGGTTAAGCTCCAGATTTCTACTTAACTGTGAAGTGACAGCAGGATGGTTGCCAAGTTCCTCTGCCTGTTGTGGAACTTGGTAGATTGAAGAAGGGTTGCTACTGTCTCAGAGTTATTGTGGATAGCTATGAATGCCAATTTAGCTAGCAGAAATCTTCAGAAAAAGAAGTAGCTTAGAGATCTTGGTTATTAACATTTGGATTGCAAAATTAAAAGGCATTGCTTTACATTAAGAAGCATCTGCATGTTTTTGTGTGTAGAGTAGCATTGTGAATGAGATTAGATGGCCTAGAGCAAAGTCACCTTAGAGCTTGGATTAGCTTTTAGTTAACTATGATACTTCAAGAATGTAGAATCGCCTTATAGTGCTGCATTAACCAGCACATCTCACAGCTTTTAAGACAAATGCTTTGCAGTTCCCTTACTTTAATTTCTTCCTTTCAGGTATACATTATTCAAGTCAGTGTTGGCAATCATCAGTGGACCGTCAAGCATCGTTACAGTGATTTCCATGACCTGCATGAAAAGGTAAGGATATTAAAACTGTCCTTGGTCTCTTGCAAAACATTGTATAGTTTGTGTAGTGACATAAATGCTATCTTCAGTAAAGAGCAATTAGTACCATCTGAGCTGCAGACTAAATCCTTTTTGTATGAACAATATTACTTGCCCCTGTTACATTCCCCTCTTGAACTGAGGGACGTTGGCCTGGACAACTTCAGCCCTGGACAGAGTGGAGTTCAGGCTAGAGTTGTTAGATATTTTGCAGAGAGATTTTTGTGATCAGCTGATGTGGTAACCAAAAGCTGGATTGGAGTAAAGACTTTTTTTTGGGAGGGGTGGGTGATAAAACTGTCCTTAAGACATTAGCACAGGGTAGTTACTAAGCAGTGCTGATTAAAAGCAGCAAGTGAAAATGAGGGAAAGTCCACTATATTCAAGACTGGGCTGTTTTCTCCCTCAGAAACAAACCAATTTTTCTACTGTTTTATCACCTTAGTTACATTGTGCCCTGTGGTACTGTGAGCAATTGTCTCAGAAAACAGTTACTGAAGTTCTTGACATTTAATGATAAAATTTTCTTTCTGAAAATACCTAGGACTTTGAAGTCAATAGCTAAATTTGCAGACCAAGGTCAGGCAACGTGCTCTTAATGTGTTCTGTTGCATCTTTTTGCAAGTTCAGATGGTGAAATGGGTAGTAACTCTGGTCTTTGTCTTTCAGCTTGTTTCGGAAAAGAAAATAGATAAAAATCTGTTACCTCCCAAGAAGATTATTGGAAAAAATTCCAAAAGCCTGGTGGAGAAAAGACAGAAGGAATTAGAGGTCTACCTGCAAACACTGCTCGCCAAGTTCCCTGTTACTGCTCCAAAAGTTTTGTCACACTTCCTACACTTTCATTTATATGTAAGTTATGTTTTTAGCATATAAAATGGAGGCCTGAATGGCTTTCCCTTGTTGTCTGACTTGGAGAGAAGTGTATGGAATCTTCACAAAATAGCTGAAACTGCTCATTTTTTTCCTGCATTTTGCACAAAGTAATAAACAAAGCATATTTTTAAGATTTTTGACACCACTTTTTATTGCAGTAGATACTGTGCTGGCAAGTAGTGTGGGTAGGGACTCTAAGATGAGAAAATAAATGCTGGCAGAATAGTTGGAATCTGTGAATAAATCTGAAGCTGAATTGGTTGTTAGGCTGAAGTCAATAGTGCTGGCTCTCTGAAGGAACGTTGCATAATTGATCCACACACACCCCTACTTAGTGGTTAATGGGAAGAGCTGTGGTTCACACTGACACAGTTTCCAGTAGCCCAAATGAAGAAAAATGATGCTTCTCCATGAGAAGCACACCAATGGAACGGCCTCTGGAGAAATAGCTCCGGCCAGCAGACAGAACATTACGGTAAAGGATGCTTGAAGTAAGAAGCAATGACTTGTTTTCCTGTTCAGATTGCAATTTGTTCGTTCATCTCTTGTGTATAATTAGGCTTTTTTTTTCAGTATGGCATCATGTAAGGGGGGGAATGAACTTCATAAAGAGGAAAATGCACTGGAGAACTCAGTGGAAAGAAGGAGCAGTAATTGCTTTGGGGTGGGATCTGCTGAGATGGCCCTTCATGGTTTCATATGAAGGCTGCAGAAATGAGTCACAAGTGGTCTATAGGTGTGTTAATTAAGCTTTAGCAACAAAGAAGAACCTGTTCTAGTTATGTTATGTGAACATAGTTATTCTGGTGAAACTTTAGGGTTTGACTTAAACAGTAGAAGGTTTACTTCATAGTGTTGCTATTGCCCTGCAGATTTCAGTACGAAGCACTAGTTTGTCAAAATTAAGCCCTCTAAAGTGAATTAGATATTTTATATGTATTGAAAATGGGCGTGATAATGTGGGGATAGTTCTATTCAGATGGAACAAACTTCCTGATTATCAGGAAGTTGCATAATTTTTCTGTTCTCTGGCTACTCTGTCTCTTAAATGATGTCTGTTTCATTAATGTTTCAGTGCTGTAACTTCAACAAAGGTTTTTATGTAGGCAGAAATTCTTCCTAGTTCCTGCTCCTGTTTTTCTGTTAGACTATTTTATTTTTTTTCCTCTTGCTGTAATGTTCATACTTTTAAACTTTTCCAAAGAACTGGCATTATTTGGATACGAATGCTCCCCTATTTCTATACTGTGCCTGTGTATTAAGCTTAATCTGTGTGTCTTTGCTTTAGGAGAGTCTGGCTTGAGGTATAAACCAAAATGTTTTTGCTTGGAACTCTTTTAAATATTTATGAAAAAAAAAGTTAATTATTCAACAGGGAAGCTAAATATTTACCACAACAATTTTACTGGAAAATAACCTTCCAGCAGAACTTTGGTCTTTTACAATACCTTTGTTACCAGACAGCCCATGTGCATGCTTGAGCCATTATAATCCATGATATTGCCTCATTAGTTCATACAGGAAGGTTGCAATATTTTGTCTATTCTTATTTGTAGTATTTCCAGTAGGGGTTATTTAATTTTACTTCCCAAACTAGTAGAACTAAATGGTGGAGAAATATCTACCATAAATACATTACAACCACTTTGAAGGCTTTATGTGTCACGGAGAGAACCCAGGTACAGTTTAGCAAAGAGAAGCAGTTGCATGAGGGTAGTGTAGAATGTTATTGTTACTTATTTTGTTGCGCTGTTGTATACTTTGTCATCTTAGAAGATTTGGTTTGTTAATTTACAGATAGAAGCTTTTGAAAGAAAAGAATTGAGCACCCACAAACTCCTGTTCAGAGACAGCTGCAAACAATGGACTTCTGTGGGTTTGATGCATATAAGTAGTTGGAGCTAAGACAGAGGTCTCTTGTAGACAGAGGAATAGAGTTGCTTTTTTTGCCTGCTATTCACTGAACAGTCCAAGTCATTATCTTGTTTCAATTAAAAATGTAGAAAAAATTCCTACTCTGTGTCCCAGATGATGACATGGATACAGAGTATAGTTTTCATTTACATCTGTGCATGCCAAATGAATGTAATTGGCTTATTCAAATGAGAGTCGGAGTTGTTGAAGTTTGTTTGTTATGCAGCTTCTAGCTTGTTGTTCTCAAAACTGTGGTGTGGAGGCTTTGTTCATCCCCAGTGAGTGGGGTTTCAGTTATACTAAGAAAGTGCTTTTCTAAAATGCTTGCCTCATCAAATGAGCTGAACTGTCTGCTGCAGATGTCCTATGCATTTATTCCCCTGTTATGAATCATGAGGGATTTGTCAGCGAAGTAGACTTATCAAATACTCACTTTCTGATGATCCATAATACCTGTTTATCCTTTGCAGCTACCTTAAACTAAGATGCGTGTGTCTAGAGAAAGCTTCACTATCACAAATAGTTGTATTTTTTTCTTTGTGGGCCGTTGAGAACTGATGGAAATGATTAGAACTACTTCTGGACTTCCACAGAGCATTTGCTTTTTGTGGAAAGAATTGTGCCCAGATGGGAAATACTCGTACAGATTTTTGTGCACCTTCAGATTTAGAAATAACAAATCCCTGTATTGAGTTTTCAGCCCTTTTTTTTCTGGCTGGGTCCAGGAGGATGGGAAAGGGGGCTTTTGAATTACACTGCAGCAAGCATAATAGAGTTAAAGTCCAGAAGACTAATTGCTTTCTATGTATCTCTCCTTCCTTGTAGACCTGTTAATCTAAAGTTTTCTGCGTATTAGTGGTATTCTGAGGAAATGTTGAGTGCTTGATGCATTAGGTTAGTCTTAATGTTAAAATTTGAAGAACACTATACTTGTAATAGTTTCTTCAGAACCAAGCTTTCTTTGAAGATAGACTAATGATGGCTAGTAATAGTTGCTCTAGTTGCTGTTGCCCTTTTCTAATATATGCAGAATGTGATTATTTAAATGTAGTTCAGCATTTTCCATCTTGGAAATGGAAATCATATGAAATGAAATAATTTCAGGTCATTTTATGAATCATTTTTAAGTTTACGAAGAAATTGATAAGACACAATCGCAGTTGATTTCTGTTTGAAAAAGTCCTGTACCATGGCAAAAAAGGGAGACTTTAGCAAATGTACACATAGAAAAATTGTAACTATGAGTATGTAAATAACACTTGATTACAATGGTTTATTCTTTGCAGGAGATCAATGGGATTACTGCTGCATTGGCTGAAGAGCTCTTCCACAAAGGTAAAGAACTTGCAAGAATTTAACTGAGAATGGTTTCCTCTATGTCCATGCACTGATACACCTGCAATATTTAATCTCTAGGCAATGAGAAACCCAAATCTTCCATATCAGACTGTGAGACTTCCACTTCACATTTTTCTTGCTGCTTGCGCTTTCATTCAAGCTGCCTTTTGGGAGGCACTGTAACAGTAGTGCTGCTACATATGGAAACAAAATAGAGAAATTGATGAATTGAGGTTTTGGAAAGGGCCTGCCAGTCTGTGTTCTTAAAGGATAGGATGTGAAACTAGTGATCAGAAGCTTTTGTTAAGCTTTGTCTTGGTATGTTTTAGTGTAACCTGTAAGGAAGTCTGTTTTATATCAGTGAGTCTTGATACAGTGTGTGTGAAATGCAGGAGGCTGCTTTACATGTTTAAATTAATATTGTTTTTACAGAATTTAGGAAAAATGAGGCCTTCTAGTCAGTTAAAGGATGGCCTTTTCTGAGGCTGGCAGATGACAATGACATGCACTTACAGTAACTGCAATAGCTCTAACTAGTCCATTAACAGCAGGAGGCATGTGAAATGATTAACCCGTGCTAATTTTATTTTGAAGGACATGCTAGATGCTACTGTAGAATTCCAGTTGGCTGAGGTGATAGGTGATGCTTGTTTCAGCATGCCATTTCAGATTGTTCTGGCACAAATTTAAGTGAAGCCATTTCAGAGGATCCACTCTGGAAATTTTGCAACATTTTAAGGATGCTCCTGAAGAAATCTTTTCCTGACTTTGTAGTGCCTGCAGTCTCACTGATGCCAGAATCATTGATGTCTGACTGCTGTATATAGTGTAGCCATCCAGTAATGTGCAGCTCGACTCCTGGACTTGCTCCCACTGAAGCCAGAGGGAGTTTTACTCCTCAGAGCATTTCTGAGAACTCTGCTTACTGTGAAGGTTGATGCTGTCTTGTCCCTGGAGTCAAACTGATGTCTCTAAAAGGAGGAGGAGAAAGATACTAATTCCACATGTGCATGTTTTGACTGCTATAGTCCATATTAACTCTTGTTGTGCTTTCAGAGAGGTTTTTGGATGCTGCTTCCTACTGTTGCTGTAATTAAATAGCGTTGTAAAAATATTATCAGATAATGCATTTCCTGTTCTGAGAGTTTGCATTGGTATTATTGTGGTTAAAGTCCTTATACTATGCAAGAAAAGATATTTGCTACAATTCTGCACTTAGGCAGAACAGCAAAAGATGTAAGGTCTATTTTTTAGATGGCAGGCACTGCTTATTCTGAATGGAATAAGTCCTAACTGCTAGAGAATTTAGGGAGATCTCAGAAAAAGTTTAGTATCTTTTACCTTATATAAATGAACTTTGATTCCCATCCTGTTAAGATTGAGGGAAATTTGCCTTTAGTTGCACTAGGAACAATATTTGAATACCTAGATTACTTTGGTGTTTAAAAAAAATATCCTAATTCAGTCATTCTAGTTTAAAGTGGCAAAAAATGACATTGTTTTGGTACCTTTATTGTGATCTTAGAGTATAAATGACAAAGACTTAATCTCTGTCATTAGAGCTTCCAAGTGCCATTCATTCTTTTGTAACCATTGCAGCATTGTGATTGATACCACCATACTCTGTTTTTCAGGAGAGCAGCTATTAATGGCTGGAGAAGTCTTCACCATCAGACCCTTGCAGTTATATGCTGTCACTCAACAGTTGCTACAGGGGAAGCCTACATGTGCTAATGGAGATGCCAAAACAGATCTAGGTCATATTCTAGACTTCACTTGCAGGCTTAAGTATTTAAAGGTGAGCTTGTACAAATACTGGAGATGTTGTTTCTACCAGACTGAAATGATTCTTAGCATACTTTTGTAGTCTAGTTTGGTTGCACAAGAACTTCTCTAATAGTAAACACCTGCAAGCACTTACAAGTTAATGTTAAACAGGTGTTGTTCAGCTTTCACTAGTTCTCAATCAAAGGTGTTGATTCTGCAATGTGGTCTCTTCAGCACTGCTCTCTGTAGAGATGCAGTCACAGAATCTTAGTGGGTGCTGGTGGGAATAGGGAGATAGATAAATATTATTCTTTTCAACCCTGTATTCTTTGCAAACACTATGGGTAGGCCAGTGTATGTATACATATGCATACAAGCATGTGTGTATATAAATCCTGTGCCCTTTCTCACCTATCTAAAAGTTTAAAAAGAACTTGAAAAAGTGTCATGGGTGAGATGGCTCTGCGTTTCTATCTAAAATACCATTTCAGAATAAATGTTAAATGGTGTCAGAACAGATAATTTTTTTCTGGAGCCAACTTGGTTTTTTCCTACCAAATAAGTGAATTGGACTTTTCCTGAATAATTTTTTTAACGCTGCTTGCTACAGCTCAAAAACTTTTTAGCCCCTTATTGCATGAAGAGTGGCTTTGAGTGGTGTGGCAAAACCAAGGGGAATGCATAAATAGGAAGCGTCACTGAAGAACTTATGAAGCTGCAAAAGCAAAACCACAGCTCAGCTGGTATTCCTGTGGATCTTCAGTTGCCTTTGCCATCCTGTGTTTGTATAGAATCCTCTGAAGAGAGGATTCTCTGGGTAGAAAAGAGCATATTGTTTAGAAAAATGCCAGTCTTCAGAAATTCAGGCCCTTCTGAATGCTTGTGAGTGAGCATCTTCAGAGCTTGTAAGACACACATAGAATAGTAGAATAGTTTGGGTTGGAAGGGTAAGATCAGACAAGAACCTTAAAGATGTCTCCCAAAATTATATTCAGAACAAACATAAATGAAACCACCTGTCTTTTATGCTGCTGACACGCTCTGACTCTAGAATCCAATGACCACATGGAAATATTAGATTCGTTTTTACTATATGTGTACCAATGTCTCATGTTTTCTTCAAACCCATCTTGCCAATGCCTTGAACTTCATCCCCTGTTGTGGAATTGAAAACCGTTCTATCTTGGAGGATCCAGATTTTTCAAGGAAGTTGTTTTTAGTGAATGTAGCTCTGCTTGGTCAGATGAGAATGAAGCCTTGGTCCATCTTGCCTGTGGTATCTCTTTTGCATGCCTGATGTGCTACAAAATACAAGCACAAGGTGGCAGTTCAAGTTCAGTGCACTTAGCTGGAGCAACTAGCTTTTTTTTTTTCCTGAAGAGTTAATCTGCAAGTTTAATGAATCATTCCATATGTGAAAAATTGGTTAGAACTTTGGCTGTCTTTCCAAGCTACTGTATTTGTGCTATTGCCTGTGTAAGACTATCTGAAATGCGGACAAGTTGGAGTATGTGCACTAACTCTGTTCTTAAATGTTGATTGCTAGGTCACTGGAACAGGCGGACCTTTTGGAACCAGTAACATTCAGGAGCATCTCTTGCCTTTTGATCTGTCAATTTTCAAATCGCTTCATCAAATAGAGGTATGACTGAGTTAGTGCTTGTAATTTTATAGAGGCTCTGCAAATATCAGGTCTGCTCTTAGAATATGTGATTGTATGCTTTGATTTGATGCTGTCTGTGTGTCTTCAAAATGAAGTGATTTCCAGTGTATACACAAAACTGAAATGAGAGTGGCTTTCCAGTGCCTTGGAGATATAACAAATGGGTTATAGTGGGATCTCTTATTGTGAGTTGCTTTGTTTGGAAAGCATATTTGTGAAAATGTTCTGACATGAAATTTACTTGTGAAAGTACACTTCTGGGTATACTGCTTGTTGCTTGATAATTTGCACATTTTTTTCATTGATCTGCTTTCAGTGTGAATGACAGTTTCTACCAGAAGTTGGTCAATGAGTGTTTTGCAAAATGCGTTGTTAAGCACTTCAGATCTTTCCAGAGAGAGAATGTCCAGTTGTATCATGCATTCTGTAGTGTGTGTCTACTTTTGGTGGGTGTGGTACCTTTTCTAGTACATGAGTGCTGTTGTCTCATTGATATGAGAGACTGAGTTGGTTAAGAACTGAAGTAAATTCCTGAAGTCAGTGATTTATTGTCATTTTAATGTGGGAAAGAAACTACAGCAGGCTGAAGAGTAGGAGAGAGTAACATGTAGCAGAGAGGATATTGCAGAACAGTATCAATTTTCCACTTTCCTACAAGAATGGATAGTTTCAGGTTTAGCTTTGCTTAATGTGGGGAGGAAAAAAAAATGGATTTTGGTCTTGAAGACTTCTGTAATTGTATGTTCATGAAAAGTTTTGGAATCACTGGCACCAGACAGATGTTTTCATCTAGTAGTGAACGTGCTCCAAAAAACTAACAGTGGAAACCTGGAAATTTTTTCAAGGGTGACAGGAGCTCTCATTCTGTTTAGGGTGGTTTTTCTGATACACCAACAAATGTGCCAGTTGTAGTGGCTGTACAATGTGTGTGACTCTCTATGGAGGAGGACTTAGTTGCTGGACAGAGGCTGTAGCAGACCTTTGGCTTTGTTCCAACTTGAGCTACAGAAAAAAGCCTTTGTAATCTTAAACTTAGTCCGTGTAATTAGCTCACTAGCATATTAAATGCTTAGATTAGTATCCTCACTTCCTAGTCATTTTGTTCTTATTCACAGTAAAGAGCATGTGATACCTAAATAAATGTGTGTGGGTAGAGCCATAGTTTGAGATACATCTCTACTGTGTAACAGTGAAATACTGTGCCCTGTTAAACTGCTTGGGTAGTTTCACCTTGAAGAATACATGAGGCATATAGAAAATCAATGGAGAAGAAGCTTTGTTCAAATAAATGTTTGAATTTTACTTTTCTATGGTTGTGTCCCTGATGTCTTGCTTTAGCTTTACCAAGTGTTGGTGTTTCTGACCTGATAATCTCAGATTTTAAGGGAATGCTGTAACTACTTTCCAAATTGGTATTGAAGGTTTTAGCTGCCTCTTCCATGTCTCTTATTTGCCTGGTCTAGCATTTCTGACTTGGTAACATTTTTATTTTTTTTTAAATAGATCAGCCATTGTGGAGGAAAGCTTATCAAAGGGCTGACTTCATCAAAACATGCTCTGGCCACAATGAGCATTCGATTTTCGGCAACATCAATGAAGGTAAGAGTGAGTTCTTCTGGTGAATGTTTAAAGCACATGCAAAAATAACATGCACATTTTGGAAACATCCAGGTACTTTTCTGTACTGCCTGGTGCAGGTTTGGTTTTTAGAACTATGGAATTGAAAGGATTTGCTAACTTTTCAGGATCTCAGCTTTAAGTGGAGAATTGTTTACATGTGTCCTTTCACAGGGATATTTCTGATGCTTTTATTGGAATGTATGTTTCTGGTATTCATCCAGAACTGAATGTGTATGTCTTATTCTTTTCTCTGGGCTTTGATTTGGCAAGGGATGTCCAGTAGGATAATTTCCAATCTCTCTATTGTTCCACCACATTCCCCAATTTGGATTGGCTGCTAGTATTGGAATGCCCTCTCTGTAGATCCAAAATACTTCCGACCCACTCAGCTCACATTTTAAGACCTACAACTTTAATCTAGGTGTTTATAAAGCTTAAAAACCGTACTTTTATTTTCAGAACTGTTAGCTTTCATTGAAGACATAAGCATGATATTTTAGTGTCCTTGTCTTAAATAGGAAATCCTAGTGCCTGAGGCCTCCGAGTTTGATCAGTGGGAGCCAGAGGGTGCAACTTCAAGTTGTCCGGTGACAGCAGTTATCCCAACTTGGAGAACTTTAACAACTTTGGATATGAGTCACAATAGCATCTCTCAAATTGATGATTCAGTGGTAAGAAATATTTTTTTCATTTGTGAAAGAAGTATGACTGATCTTCTGTGGCACATTACGCAACAGGGATTTTGCGTTTGCTTTATGTATTTTCTGAAAGATAATAAACTGTACTTTTTAATGTTGATTAGCTATCCAAGTTAATGTTTAGGATTTTTTTCTTTTATTACTTTGATATTTTCTTTGCTAAAGGAGAAAAGTTTGTCATTCTGTGCTCTGTAAGCAACGCTTCCATGAATACTGACATTTTGAAACATGCTTTTATTGTTTGCATTGGCCTTAGGCCACTTACAAATTTATTTTAAAAAAAAAAAGTCTTGGGCTCAACTTTAGTGTGTTACCAAAGCTGGAATTTACTGCATGTTTAAAAAACTGTGGCTTGCTGGGGGCCTTCATGACAAAGTATACTGGCAAAGTATTTTGTCAGTACCTTAGAATTATATTTTGTAAATGAGTTTAAAAAAAAAAAAATTAGCATTCATCACAAGAACATGTCAAATGTGAATGTATTTTTTTTTACTTGCACTACTCTTGTGAAGCAAGAAATAGTTATGTCTGTAGCTCAACTAGAGCTCATGGACTTGAAGCACACTTTTGTTGTTCAGGATTTTTAGTCATGTAGACCATGAGTTCTTTAGATGCGAGTCTAGACCTTACCTACAAGGCAAATCATTGATGAGATTACAGCCAAAATAAAACAGATGCAAATACATTGATGCCAAAACTCAGTGTCAGACTCAAGGTTTGCGTCCTCCAAAAATAAAAGGCTTTCTGGGTTAAAGTGTGTTTTTGAAATGCTTGGCTGGTATAATCAAAACATGGAAGCAAATAATTGAATTGTAGGTTTTAGTGCTGTCATCTTTATCCAGGTTTCTGCATAACATGCTTGTTGGATAAGACTGAAAAGCCTGGTAATGAGTTTGACCTATAGTTGATGGTGCTAAGCTGGGAGCAGCTTATTTGTCTTCAAGAAACCAGGTTTCAAATTGAAACTTAGCCATGCTCCTCAAGAGTAACCTGGGTTTCACAAGAGCATGATTCAACTCTTTTGCTGCACTGGGTCACATGGACTGCTTTTTTATACCAAAAGCTGAGAGGAGTCCTCCTCCATTGGATCATACCTTTCCTTTGCTGCTTGGTTAGCTGATAGGGAAGGAATCCTGGGTTGATTTATAAGCTAAAATGCATTTAATACATGCATTTTTTTTCTCCTCTACTAGAAATTAATTCCGAAGATTGAATTCCTGGATTTGAGTCACAATGGAGTGTCTCTGGTAGAAAATTTACAGGTAAGTGATGCTTTTCAAGGTGATTTTTCTCCAGACTGCCTGACACCCTAGAACACAGATTTTATTGATGCAGAATTTTGTTGCTCATCCTACTTATGGAGAACAGTTTAAACCCAAATAGCTTATCCTTCATAACATCAAGTACTCTTTTAATGGTACATTTCTTACTTTGGATATTTTCATTTCTTTGCCAATATTGACATAAGCCATCTACTTTTAACTAAATCCATTCACTGCCAGCTGTATCTGTGGGTTGGTAAAAATGCAGTTGAGGAAGTTCCCTTTCTACAAGCTTGAACACACGTAATGAGCAATTTCATGTCATGTTTTTCGTGCCAGGCAGTGTCCAGCATGAAAACACCATTGTACAAAAAAAATGAGCAAGCCGTAATACAGTGTCTTTGATATTGCTTAATTTTAATGAATTGGTTTATGACGTGGATTTTCTGTGCTCTTGTAGCATCTCTACAACCTTGTTCACTTGGACTTATCCTACAACAAACTTACATCACTAGAAGGTGTTCACACAAAACTGGGAAACATCAAAACTCTGAATTTAGCAGGAAATCAGCTGGAAAGGCTGTGTGGTCTTAACAAACTGTACTCATTAGTCAACTTGGATCTGAGCAACAACAAAATAGAGCAGGTAACTGTTGATTTTTCAGTGTCAAATTGAATTGTGCTTTATATCACAAGCAATTTCTTTTAGTGTGTGAAACTGCAAATAAATAAAAGTGGATGTAGTCATTTTTCCATGTTGTTGTATGTAATTTATGCAAGAAATGCTGCATCTGTATGCTCATTTTCATTTAGCCAATCTGTATTTATCCTTTTATTCAAAATCTTTCAGATTGATGAAGTAAAAAATATAGGAAACCTCCCATGCTTAGAAAAGGTGATCTTATCCAGCAATCCGTTGAGCATCATCCCTGATTATCGGACCAAAGTACTTGCTCAGTTTGGGGACAGGGCCTCCGAGGTAAGCCACGGTGCACTTCTTCCTTTGAAGCTGGCATTTGAAAAAAATCTTTTTCAAAGCCTGGTGAGGAAAGCAGAGTGAATGTTCTAAAAACCTGATGAGTTTTTAGTCTGTGTTGGAGAAGGTCTGTAGAGAATAAAAGCACATTAACGTTATTCCACTGTGTTCCTGGATCTAAATGAAAGTTTATCCTGGCTTCATGGGGTAACAGCATGTTAATATTGAAACACAGTTGTGCTAGAAGGGTGTTAATCTTACCAAGCATTTCTGAGTTTGCAGTAAAATCATATCATGTTAGAGCAAGGTCTAATGTGATAGTGATTACAAAGATGCACATAGTTTGCATTAAGCTAATATAATTTTTGATTATTACATTAATAAAAATAAATTGCAGAGCAGCCCTGTTTTCAATATTTTTAGATGTTTTAACTTTTTCTTTAGGTCTGTTTGGATAACACTGTTACCACAGAAAAGGAACTAGACACTGTGGAAGTGCTAAAAGCTATTCAAAAAGCAAAGGAGGTGAAATACAAGCTGAGCAACTCTGAGAAAAAGGTGAGTTTGGTGCTGTGAGAGGAGTATAATGTGCTGCATACAAAAATCTTACAAAGACTTCTGCAAATTAGATCTCAGTGGAATTCATTAAACTTTCCTTAGCATTAAAGTTGTTGCCCTTTCTTTGTGCTTTAATGTGGTATGAACTTTTAACATTTGCCTCTTTTTCCTATTTAGTTTTCAGTGTAATCGATAATTATCAGACCTCCCTTTTTATGTTGGCTTGGAAGAGAGGAATTGGGAGGAAAAGATAGAATGACTTAATGGTGTACACAATGAGTATGCAATTGACCTTAACCATATTTTACATCTTATACAAGTATTGCAGAGGTGTGACTACACTGTTTGTGTTGTGGGGTACTGAAATGACTTTACCAAACTTTCCTCTTGTGGGTTTTAAGCAGGAAAGAATCAGAAATCTGAATCTTCCTCGCCTTCTCTCGTGTATCTGTGCTGTGTAGTTGGTTAGTCTTGTTTTGGTAATAGACTTATCAGAACCTGTTCCATCCCCACAATGTGGAAGTGCTGTTTTCATTTTCTTGTCATTTGTGAAACTCACTGCTAGTTTTGTGCATACAGTGATTAGTCATCAGAATGACTTCTGTAAATAAATGCTTCGTGGAATTCCACTTCAGAGGATGCCTTCCCTCCCCTCCCCCTCTTCCCCCCAAAAAAACCCCACACTTGCACTATCTTTTTTTTTACTGAAATTGAGAAAGCTTGTGTGGACGCAGTTTCAGCATCTAATATGTCCTGTGTATTTAGGTTTTTTCTTTAATCACTGCATACTTTCTTTATTAGATCAGTGAGGACTCCAGGCTCACTGCTGCCAGCTCCAAATCAAACTGTTCTTCTCTTACTGTTCGTCCTTCCTCTCCCTCTCTGCCTCGTCCTGTCAGCTCCAGCCAAGGTAATCATGTATGTATCGTGCTGCTGGGCTGAGCCTCTTGGTTCTGCTTTTCTAAGCTGCATTGATATACATGAATATTATGTGCATGGATATAGGGCATATCAAGACAAAGCAGTAAGATCTGGTGGTATTGGCTTAGAAAGTGGAAGTAGTATGTGAATCAGCAAAACTGACCTGTTGTTCACCATAGTGTTAATTGTAGTGGGAGTGTGGGTACAGGACTTTTACTGCATCATCCTGCAGAAATCACCAGCAGAGGACTATATATCTTTTCCTAGCTTAGATACATATCTTACAGAAAACCATGGCATGTATGGACATGTTTTGCAATTACTTCTCTACCTGTTCTTGGTCTGCAAAATGTGAGCTCGAGCAGCATCTGTTCCATTTTTCCTCTTTTGCAAGAGCTGCATTTCTGTCAAACCAGAAGGAAGACAGGAAAAGGAGATGAGTAAAGGCAGTTGTGGGATTAGTCTTCTGGCTGAGCCTGTGATTTCAGCACATCTATTGTGCTCTACAGCACCTGCTAACCTTACCTGAGAATTATTTTTACTGTGTTTCAAATAAGCATGCCTGTTGCATCAGGAGCTTAGAAGAATGGCTTATCTTTCATCTTTTGCTGTAGAGCCTGTAAGACTGACTTAGGGGAATATTCATTTGTGACTGAGAAGAGATAAAGATACTCTTTTGGTTTTTTTTGCTTTTGCCTAATTGAAAACTTTAAGTGCACTAGGATATGAATAGTGGCAGAAGACTTTGTAAGCAATTTAAAGAGTGGGGTTTGTATTCTCAATAATCTGGGGTACACCATTTTACTCTTCCCAATAAATTGGTGGACAGGGGAGAATAACACGCCTGAAAAGCTTGATCTTTGTAAAAAGTCCATTGCTGTGATTTCTGCAAAATCAATAGAGGATTCATAGTTCATTCTATAAAAATGAAATTGTTCTGACAGCCTTTGATTAAAGGGCAGACAATTTAAATACAGACTTAGTTCCTATTTATGTGCTTCATTTGCCTTTGTAGGCCTTCTAGTTCGCTTTTCATCTGCAGATAAAATGCTGGTTTTTCCAAAATTAAGTCAATGCTTGCTTTAAAGTATTAAGCATTTGTTATAAGCTTGACACAGTTTGTCTATATAACAACCTGCATTTTTATACAGGAGTAGCTGTAAAAATGTGTGCTAGCAATCACTGTGGCTGTTTAAAAGTTATTTGTCACTAGTCTTTTTTCTATTACAGTAAATGTTTTGGAGCAAATGAGTCTTGGAAGGGGAAAAAAAAATCTTTCTTTCTGAAGTACTTGAGAGTTTTATAGAATTATAGAATGGTTTGGGTTGGAAGGGACCTTTAAAGGTCATCTAGTCCAACCTCCCTGCAATGAGCAGGAACATCTTAAACTAGACCAGGTTATGCAGAGCCCTGTCCAGCCTGAACATGAATATTTCCAGGGATGGGGAATGTACCACCTCTCTGGACAACCTGTTCCATTCTGCAAAAGGCCCAGTTAAAAAGTTTGTTCCCATCTTTCTTATAAGCTCCCTTTAAGTGTTGGGAGGACACAGTGAGGTCTCCCTGGAGCCTTGTCTTCTCCAGGCTGAACAACCCCAACTCGCTCACCTACTATCATAGCAGAGGTGCTCCAGGCCTCTGATCAACTGTCATAGCAGAGGTGCTCCAGTCCTCTGATCATTTTTGTGGCCCTCCTCTGGACCCACTCCAACAGGTCCATGTCTTCCCTGTGCTGAGGGCCCCAGAGCAGGATGCAGTGCTCCAGGTGGGGTCTCACCAGAGTGGAGTAGAGGGGCAGAAACCCTTCCCTTGCCACGCTTCTTTTGATGCAGCCCAGGATATGGTTGGCTTTCTGGGCTGTGAGTGCACATTGTTGGCTCGTGTCCAGCTTTTCATCCACCCGTACCCCAAGTACTTCTCATCAGGGCTGCTCTCAGTCCCTTCACCCCCACACCCCTCAGCCTGTATTGATACCAGGGGTTGCCCTGACCCAGGTGCAAGACCCTGCCCTTGTTGAACTTCATGAGGTTCACATGGACCCACTTCTTGTCCACATCTGTCTGGGTGGCATCTTGTCCCTTATAGAGAGATTGGTATAAGAGTCAAGGTTTATTTACTGTAATCCTTTTTCACAAGGTATTTTTTCCTTTTTCACCTAGGCAATTTCTCAGGCTTAACAATAGAAATTGATTATTTGCTACATATCTTATCTATCAAAAGTTGCTTCCAAAATACTAATTTTGAGAAATCTATTTTTAAAAATGGAATTAGCTAGGTGATTAGTTTCACTGTTAGACCTTAAATCATGAATAATGAAATTAATTTCCTGATATGCTATTTCTATGAATTGTTTTCTCTGCAGTTTTTCTAGACACCATCTGTTTCCGTAACATATTATTCAAATTAAATGTCACTGGCAAATGGCTTATGGAAAAAGATTAAATATTTATATAGGAAACAGACAAAAATAATGCTGTTATGTTCTGGTTTTCCTGTCAATTTGAGTTTCCTTCTTGCTAACACAGTATTTTGTTGAAGTCATAAATACCTCTTGTGTTTCCTCTCACTATGAGATGGTTTGATGTAATGTACTAAACTTTGCCATCAATACAGAAAGGTACACGGAGAAGTTTTTAAGCTCAAGCCAGAAACATATCCACACTGTAATTCTGTTGTTTATTTGTGCATTTATGTACTTGAGCTCCCTGGCTGGCTTAGTGGTAATGCTGAAAGTTAATTTGCTCTGCTGCATCAGTGTGATGCTATGAAATATCAAACAGGCAAAAAGTCAAAAGTCCCTGAGAACGCTGGTTTCTGTGCAGTCATAAGTGTTTACTGATGATTCGGCTTTGAACCCTTTAAAAAGGTTCTGAATAAGGCGAGATAATTGTCTTGAATGGCATTTGAGGAACCAGAACTTCCGAGTCTGGTTAAGATTTTACGCAGATATTATACTTGTTCACTTGAAAGCTACAGAAATTTGAGAGAATGCTAAAAAACTTACAAAGAGTGCTCTGCTGTGTTTTTGCCAGCCTGGCAATGTTTTGGTGAAAATAAGAGTTAGTATTAACAAAACTGACTAGTTGTGTTAAAACTAAATCATGTGAAGAATTCTTATACCAGATGTTGAGATTAAAATTGTGAGCCTGAAAAACAAGCTTTAGCAGTCTTTAATGCAACTTTCAGTGCTGTTAAAGGTACTTCTGTAATTAGACTAAAATTTTGCCTGCTTTTGTTTTGTCCTGGCTATTATGTGAAGATATCCTTTAGCTTTAATGATTTTTTTGATCAGATCTCGATTATACTTTTTAATTCCACTTGTTTGGCACGTACTACTAGACATTCATTTTGGTTTTACTTCAGTGATTTTAATAGCTGTTTGTATTTCTTCTAGAAATAATTTGTGAAGAAACAGTCCTAGCCAGCACTTTTTTGCAATCCAGTGATTCGACTCCTACAGACCATACAGTTCCCCAGAGATGCTTTGAAATACCGGACTCCAGATGTAAAAATCAGGTAATTGCCATCCCTCTGTTTATTTTATGGTATTTTTAAGTGTTTTTACAAGCTTATTTCTGATATTAAACTTCCATTATTGTAGTAATCCACCATAAAGTTTTTTTGATTGTCAGAGCTGTTATAAAGGAAAAGGAAGTAGCTGTAAGTTTGAGTGAAGGGGTTGGTCTACCTTGTAAATTAAACACATAATCTAAGTTTACCAGAGTTGCAGAGAATTGTTGTCACTATGTCATGACATTGAGATGTTTACCCAGTATTAGTATCACATCATTTAATATCCACATAGATACTGAGCGTAAGACTTCTATCTTGTATTATTTACAATATCCATTTTTGGAGGGAGATGCTCTTGCTAGTAGAGTGGAAGAGCCTTCTCCCTGTCAATAAGTAACGGCATTAATTTGTCTCCTTCCTGTTTGATAATTTCTATATTGTGATTTAATTTGTTGTATTGGAAACTCTCTTCATATGCATATAGTTGGTCTTTGTTGAGTTCCTTTCTTTTGCCTCACTTTACACAACTTCAGTAAAAATTTGTAGTGCGCCAAAATGTCTGTGGGTCACAGGTTGGATCTGTTCTCAAGTCAGCAGCAGAGTTCTTTCTTTTCTTGCCTAATAGACTGCCCAACCTAAAGTAAACACATAGTGCTTCGGGATCCTTAAAGGCTAGCTGTTCAGCTGCCCAGGGGTACAACAGTCAGGACTTTGAAGTGAGTTGACTGGCTTTAAAAAGCAGGAGCCAACATTAACTTTGCTTTTCCTGTACGCTGAAGTCTGACAGCAGCTGTAAGTAGTTGGTAGCTTCCTGATGTTTTCTTCTTCTCCTTAGGCACCTGCCTCTCTATTGGATTCATGCAAAAAGTATGGAAGTGGTCATCAAATGTGGTAAGCTCTAGATATACAAGTTCTGGCTTAAATCCTCATTAGCTTTTGGGTAATAACAGTGGGTGCTGCATTTTTAAACCTGGCCTTTAAGGCAAAACAGTCTCTTCATTGTATGCTGCCTCTGGGATTTTTTTGAACCAAAATAATTTTCATGGTGTCAAGTGTTTTTAACTTTTGAACCCTAGAATACAGTTGGTAGTTTCAAATCAGCAATAGCTGTATTGTAAAGTGCTTTAACTCATTGATATGCTTCTTGGGCTTAGGAAATGGAAAAGGAGTTAAACATTTTAGGTTTTACTTCCCAGAGAATTGCAGGCTGCCAACCTTTAAAATCACTGGCTGTGTGCAGTATGAAGACATTTCATAAAAGTACACTGACTTAACTTTAGTAATAAGGGTAAACCTCAAACTTCTGAGAAGCAGTACCGTGAATTGTAGGTAGCTATGGCTGGTTTTAAATTCAAGTTTGTACTTACTGTGGCTTGTTATCTTTTTTGAAGTTTGAATCATTCAGAGGAAGAACACTGTGCGGTGCCTGACCCCTGTAACACCATCATCTTGCCTTTTAATTGTATGTCATACACTGCCACAAACCAAGATTTTATCCAGCACCTTTCTGCCTTGATAATGCAGAGTGTTCAGAGACATCCCCCCTCCTTTACAGAGAATAAAGGAAGCCCTCTGGGTGATTCTGGAACCGCAGACAAAGAAGATGGATATTTTGAAATGGGACTTCATGAAGGAGATCAGACTTTTGAGTTCAGCACTACTTCAGATACTCGGTCATCTGACAGCATAGCAGTCAAGAGTGTTGACATAGTCAAAATTCTCTGGAGTTTTTCTATTCACATTCATAATGGACTCAGGCAGTTTGCTTCCTGTTTGGTTTTGACTGATGATATGCTAGCTGTGTTTGAGATTCCTCATCAGGAATTAGGAGGAAATTGCCAGCACATCTCTTCTGCCTTGAAATTAACACTATGTTGTCCGTATACTGATCTAACAGAATTTGGCTTTCTCCTGCCAGAAATCTGTTTAACACTGAAGCTGAAAAACAGTGACAGCTGCTTGTTTATTGTTTCAGACTCCCAGAATCTTCAAGACTTTTATTCCTGTTTGCACGCGTGTTGCTCACAACACTACGCATCAGTGTTACCAAGCTCCACATTGCACGGTGGAAAAGCAAACCTCCAAGAGTTTCTCTGTCAGCTTATGGAAGTGAATTGCATTTCAGCAGAAGATGTTGAAATAAAAGGCTGTTTCCCAACTTACCTTGTTTGTGGGAATAAAACCAATGTTCAGAAAATCTTGCATCCACCAGAGTCAGCTGGCAATAACAAAGAATGGTCTAAAAATGTTTTATGTTCTGCACTTTATTCTTCAGTGTATAAACCTTCTGACCAGGGTCCCTGTGTCGTCCATCCATGTTGGATATTTCTGACACCCCAGCATTTGTACATAGTAAAGGTGGATTTCAGTTTACTGCCAGGCAAATGGGTAGGCTCAGAAGACTTGGAAAGTGTATTTAAGCTGACTAGGATTCCATTAGCATCACTTGTGTTGCATCCAACTCATGGTTCCATCCAGCAGAAGGGTTCATTTTTGGATGGGCACGTGCTGGAGTTGCTCGTTGGATACAGAATTGTTACAGCAGTGTTTGTTCTACCTCATGAGAAATTCCACTTCCTGAGAATCTACAGTCTTTTAAGGACACTCCTGCAGGACGTTAAGACTATTATTATTTTCAAAGCTTCAAACAAATCAGATGCTGTAAGAAATCACGTTGTGGAGGCAAACAGACATGGTCAGTCAGCAAGGTAACAATTCCCATAGAAGGTCTGTTGCATGGTGCTGAAGTGAATGTGGCCCAGCCAGTGCAGTGTGTTTACAGTTGTCACTGTAATTGGTTTTGGCCTGTAGTATTGATGAAGTACTTTTTCATTCTGGTAGTATGTGTGAATGGTTACACTGGGCTGTACCTGTCTAGCTTTTTTGTTTCTATTTTGTTTTATGGTTGCAACATAAAATGTATTTTCTTGTGGAAGGAGACTTCCTATTTCGTGTGCTTTTAGGCTGAGGTCAAGGCAGATTGACAGCTATGCTCAACAGAAACCATTTAAAGTAAACTATTAAGAATAGAAGTTGTCTGCCTGTTCCTAATTTCTGAATGAAATACAAGTACTAATTTCTGTAGGGAAAGAGCTGTGTATTTCCTTAAACTTTGATTCAATGTGTTTTCTGGATCTCTTCTAGCTTTTGCAAGCCTCATCTGACGCTGTCATCTTTATATCCATCTGAATTTCTTATGCAGAAGATAACAGAAGATAACCAGATTCCGGTTCACCTTCATGTTTCTGTGTCTCTGCAGTATGTGGCTGAGCTGAAAGGAAATGCCCTAGTTGAGTTTTTCCATGGCAACATTGCAGAGGTATTGTGCTTAGCCCAGGTGTATAAAAAGATGCCTTGTGGCCTTTCAGTACTAGACAATATTGAAGAACTTTCCTTATCAAACTTAAGACTCAGACTCTGTGAAACCTGGAGGCATTCTAGACAAAAAAAACCTGTTTGTATTACTCTGTTGGGTTACCTGCCACAATGATTGCTATCCTGCCAGGCATACTTTGCCTTCAGGATCCATGGTGCAACACAGGAGAGTATATTAGTGTACGTCTTGAAGATCTGATTACTCTGAGAATTTTCCTCATTTTTTTCTGTGAAGTGGCAAAAGGAAAGAAAATTACCTTAGTGGAATTATTTTGTGATTATATGAGCAGATAAACCTAATTTCTGAATAACAGATATATAGTCTGTGTGGAAAACATGAAATTAAAAGTACAAATCTCTTTAAATTCATGATATGACTTTTTAAGTCATTAAATCATTGTGGTCTGAGTACAAATGTCAATTGAAATGCTTATTGATGAAGAAAGGAGCTTTTGTTCCCTTACCTCACTTCCACTTCTTTTAAGTCAGCACAAGTTGTGGCTTCTCTTCTTACACCAGGAGAAGCTGATAAAGGTCACTCATTTGAGGATTCACAGTAAGCTCATCAAGCTAGAAGCTGAGAAGATGCCTAGTTGGAACAGCAGTTGTAGTGGCAAGCTGTGCTTCTGTCCTGTCTCTTAAGGATCTTTGAATCCCAACCCCTCAGTAGCATCTGAAGGCTCAATAGACTTGTTGAGGCTTGGGAAGCACTGCTCATCTGTTGACTAAAATTTTATCTGTAGTGTCTGTTCTAGAAAGCCCTTCTTGTGCACTAGATGTTTTTTCTTTTCTAATTTTGGTCAGAAAAAAGGAATAATTGCACCACAGCAGAAAAATAATTTTCTTACATTAAACACAGGATGTTTTCAGTAGACTGCTGTTGTGTTCACCTCAAAGCTGCAGCTTTGTCTGTAGCATGTTAAGATGCTTCAGACTTTGAAATTGTTTTTCTAGTAGGCTGAACTTGTCACTAAGGCGATGAAACTATCTGAAAAATCAAATTGTGCAAGTGATTTAGGAAATACAATTTACATCTTAGGTGGAAAATGAAGAGTTGAGACATCTCATGTGGTCTTCAGTTCTGTTTTACAAGACTCCTAATGTGGAAGTGATGGCTTGTGTGCTTCTCTCAACAAAAGCTATTTACTTTCTGTTGGATGATTCTTTCATTCATGCTGATGAGCACCAGTCAGGTAAGATAGTTATTTTGATCCTTTAATAAAGCTACCAAATTAATCACCGCCTGTATGTTTGTCTTCAGTTTAAGTACCAGTTTTGGTTGATTCTTTCACTTGGACTTCCTAGTTGAGGGAGAGAATGGCACCGTTTGCTGTATGCAAAGTACTTCTGGGAGGCTTTTATGTTCAAAAAACAGGGTCTTGAGTCATGGCTGCTTTGCAAACAGACCATTCCATGTGCCGTTGTACCCATCCTTTTCTCAGGTGTCATTTCATAGTCCCTAGCTTCTTCACCTGGGCAGCTAAAGGCCCTTTCATAACCAAAATGATAAGTGAAGGGTAATGAAACTTAGTATGTGTGTTCAATTCATGTGAGTGGTTTGTTAATGCATCTGCTGATAGAAATCTGATGTGACAGCTACTTCAAGAAATGCTGCTAATGAGATTTGGTTGTATTTGTTGATTGAGAAAATACTAGCTGGTATTCCCACCTTCTTCCTAATTTGTTCCTTCAAGTGTGCTTTAGGTATAAGATGTTAATATAAAAGTTATGCTTATGGAAAGATGAATCTTTTTTTTTCTTTTGATGTTTTTATCATATATCCTTTTTCAACAGATTTTTGGAACAAAGAAAACTCAGATTGTGAAAATAGTTCTTTCCACCTCTCTTGCTGCTTTGTGCTAAAACTTAACGACTTGCAGTCAGTAAATGTTGGCCTGTTTGACCAATACTTCCGAATTACTGGTGAGTACATCTTGTGCTTTAAGTTTTTCCAGTTCTATTTTGTCCTTCTAGTCTTGTCTTTATTTTATTAGTGAGATTGAGCAGTAAACTATTTAGTTACTACTTTTTCTTAAAAGAAATTAAGTTAATGTAACACTGGTGGTCCTGTACTAGTAGGCTAATAATATTATCTTGCAACATCTGGTAATTGAGTTAACTGGGAAGCTTATTATTAATGAATCAATTGGTCCCAAAAATTCTCCTGTGTGAGTGACACATGAAAAGGGAAATCTAAAGACTTGCTGTTCTGAAGCTTTGGCTTGCAATAAAGAGTATGTAACAAGTTCACAAAGAAAACTGAGGGCAGGTTTTTTTTTCTGTAAGATAAATTGTGATAAGATGATGATAATGTTGAACTCCTACAGCAATAGTATAACAGTTAAATTGAAGTGTACATCATATTTTAAATCAAGATAAATTATATTCTTTATTTTTGGGATTTTTAAGGATTCTATTTTTTGCAAGTATTTGAAAGTTTTCTGAATAATGATGCATGTTTCCAGGAGAAATAATCCTTGGAAGAAAACTTTTTTGGTGACAGTTGCATGTTGGTTGAAGAAATGATAATGTCACATACAGATTTGTGAGCGGTTTATATTCTGTTTTCTCTTCAGGACACTCTGCAGATCATATAGTCACCTGCCTGACAAGAGACAGTTACAACACTCACACCTTCATACAGCAGCTTATGGCAGTTTTGTCACTGCTTGCACGCACACCTTCACCTGAACCAGTAGATAAAGACTTCTACTCTGAATTTGGGAGTAAAAACACAGGTGAGTGGTCTTATCTACATGCCGTGAGTTATTTAGCGTCATACTTAAAACATCATCTAAAGTGTACAGATCACAAACTTTTGAGGGAAATTTATGCATCAGTTTTCTCCTATTTGATACTTTAACCAGATTCCCTCATTTCAATTATTTCACGTGTGCCTTAGCTGAACAGAATTGATAAATGTAAAGTCTTGCACATGTGAAGCTATTGATGGCTTCTTGAGTCCAGAAGAAACTGCACTTCCTATACAGTATTTTTGGATGTGTACTAGTGTAGCTCCCACTGCAAGTTTCAGCCTAACAAGTGAAGACTTGTAAGTCAAAAAACAGTAAAGATAACTAAGTCTGAAGGCTACGTTATTCCTCAGTCAAATAAAAGAATCCTGTCATTCCTGAGAATGGAGTAAAGTGAAAAGTAGACTTTTTTTAAGGTGTTAGGTTCAATTCCAATATCAGGTGAAACGTTTTTGTTTAGAATTCTGAAGCCAGTTGAAGGCATGAACTAAAATGTTTTCCTGAAGAATAGTTGTTACTGTTTTAAGGAGAAGCTGCATAAGCTCAGAAAGTGCAAGGTTTGATGGAGAGTCAATCGATTTATGTGGAAAAAGCAGGCACGCTTACTTCAAGCTTTGCTATGTTGTATTTTGGCACTTAGAGGAAGTAGGGGACTGCAGTTTCACCTCCTGCCACTCCAGAATATAGCATGTAGCAGAGGAATGTGCTTATCCAGTAGGGAAATAAAAGCAATTTGTGCAGAGTCTTTTTTTTCTTCTTTTATTGTTCTAATTTCTGCTTTTTCACTCTGCTTAGAAGCAGGGACTTTGTGTTTGGTGGTCTGATAATGCTTTCAGTGGGTTCAAAACTGAGGAGTGGGAAGGAGGTAGAGGAGGTCATCTGGTAGGGAGGTGGATAATCTCTGATATAAGAATCCAGCTGTATTTCCTTTAACCTCTTCTGCCATTGTCCTGAACTAAATATGTGGTTAAAATCTGCTGAAAAGTATGTTGGTAATGCAAGAGATACTCCAGTAGAGATCTGCAATCTATATAAAATTATTCCAGTATTGTACACAAGTACAACCATATTTGAATAGATACAAAACCTGAATTGTTCCAGCTGCAGCCAAATGTCAAAGGTTGTTGCTTATCCTATTGCATTAAGAAAGTATTGCATAATACTAAATGGAAGTATAATAATGCATGTTTCTTGCAGGAAAAATGGAAAATTATGAACTGATTCACTCCAGCAGAGTAAAATTTATTTATCCAAATGAAGAAGAAATTGGGGACCTTGCTTTTCTAGTGGCAGAGAAGATGGATGGTTTGACTAATCTTCAGTCCCTCAACATCCTTCTGTATGTGTTGGCATTTCAAGTAAATCATGTTGAAGGATCTGCCCAAGACACTAGTTCGCTTCAACCTAAAACACTTATATTAACGAGCTCTGATTTGTTTCTCTTTGATGAGGATTATATCAGTTACCCACTACCTGAATTTGCGAAGGAACCACCAAAGAGAGATAAGTATCAGCTTGTAGATGGAAGACGAATTCGGGATTTAGATAGAGTACTGATGGGTTATCAGACATATCCACAGGCCCTTACATTTGTGTTTGATGACGTTCAGAATCAGGATCTGATGCAGAATTTAACACTGGATCACTTTGGAGAAACTGATAGTGCTCCAAAGGGAAGTGCTAAACAAGAAGGCAGCAGGAACAGAGAGATCCAGTGGTACATCTTTATCCCAAGTGCAGAAAGCAGGGAGAAATTAATTTCATTGCTTGCGAGACAGTGGGAGATCTTGTGTGGTAGGGAGCTGCCTTTGGAACTCACTGGGTAATTATTGCACAGCTAAGTGATTTCAGTGTCTCTTATAAGGTAAAGCACAGTGTTTAAATAAATTGCACCTGTCAAGTTCTGTTTTTTTAATAAGGAGCTGGCCTGGACTTCCTTGTTTCCCTAGCGCACTGAACATTTAATAGTACATAGAAATACTCTGAAGTGTTAACTGGGGACTGAACTTCTTGTAAAGTCTATTTTTTATGCAATAGTATATAGTGAAAAAAGTCATGAGACATCCTGGGAAACTGTATGGAAAAATTAAGGAGTCAACACTAGATATGCTGTCGTCTAGGGCTGTTAAGGTTTCTGCTATTTTTCTGTATATATCAGTCTTGCTGTTCTATATAAATTCTAATGTGTAAATAAGGGTAAATGCTTGTGTATGTTCAAGTGCAATGTTCTTTGTATGAGAAGTATTTTGGGTATGCTGCTAATGCTTATTATTTAATGATCTTACAGTTTTACATATGTTTTCCTTTGAAGCCAAATGTAATTATTTGCTGCCAATCATGAATTTACCAGTAAAATTTGAGCCACAAGCAGGTGACATTTTCATATTAAATTAGTTTCAAAGGCATTCTTTCTCCTTGTCCTAGGATAAAGAAGAATTGCCTGTTAAAGGTTCACTCAGTATCATCTTGAAAGTGGAAATACCTGACGTGGTATATGAGCATTTTGCCAGCAAATAATGAGTTTGTATCTCTGAACACAAAGTCTTTCTTTTGCCTATTTTGTCAATACAAATAAAGTGTAATTTGACAGTTTTCTTTTGGCCTTGTCTTTATTTGTTTATCTTGTGTTTGCAGGATACAGTATCAGCAGTACATATGTTCCTAGAGTGTATTGTAAGGTATGAAATATGCAGCAAGACGAAAGAAGAAAACAATTTATTCTACTATAGCAAGTTTGTACTGGTCCAGAAACAGAGCTGAGTCATGGAAACTGAGGATCTGCAGCTTCTAAACACAATTTAAGGAGGATCTATTTCAAGTACTTCTGCTTTATAACATGTTAAGGAATTGCTTTCCAAGCTTTCATTTTTAACTTAAATATTACCATGCCCAACAAATTTTAGCCTACCCCATTAGAGTAAAATCCCTACTCTCTACTGTGAAGACAAATACTGAGGCTTTGAAAAAGACTGTTCTTTGTCCACTGGGATTAAGAAGGGAGGGACTGTTTTGATACGTACGTGCCAGCTGATGTTGCTTAAAACTGATGCTCCTTAAAAAAAAAACTAGAAAATTTGAGGTTGGAAGAGAACTCTGGGGGTCCAACAGTCAAGCTCAGAACAGGGCAAACTTCAAGCAGATTGCTCAGAGCCTGGACCAAACAAGTTCTGAGTTTTCTCTGAGAATATCAAGTCCACAGTAGCACTGGGAATGTGGTGAATCCATGGCATACTTTTCCATGCTGATGGGAAGCTTGGCTGTGCTCTTTGTGCTCCAGATGCCAGGAATGTTGCGGTCAGTGCAAGAATGACAGACACAGGCAAAGTCAAATTGTATTGCAGGATGCAGTGGAGTTCCCTAAGCAACTGAGGAGGTGAGGAGTATTGCTTGAGTGCTTATGTGTTTTACAGTTTAGCAGAGGAAAGCTACCCCCTCTCAAGCTTAAACCAAACTGAACAATTAAGGTAGGTACAGTAGGCTCTTGGGGAAACCTAAATTTTCCAGTGCTTCGGATTCCCTGAAATCTCAAGGATGCTTATATTAGGTAGGAAAAAAACTAACTTCTTAAATAAAAATCCTAGGGATAAACTAATTAAAAGCTTAGGGCTTCATTAGTTCTTTTCAAAGTAACTTTGGTAACCACTTATTTGTAATTCTTGTAGGTAACACTTTTGAGTTGCTACAGGCTCCTCATAGTCTGATCGGCAAGTATTTGAGAAATTATCACATGAGCAGATTTATGGTATACTTTATGGTTTAAGTGAATGCAAAGGGAATCTGTAATGAGTGCTATGGAACTGCCTAGTATTTTAGTCAACATGAATAGACACCTGTGCTCTCATACTAGGGGTCATACTTGTTTCTGGACAAGTTAACCCTGTTTCCATCTTATTTGCAAGATGGATGCTTTGTGCATGAGACAGACTCGAGTTCTGTTTCTGAGCATCCTATGTAAAGCCCAACTGTTCAAATATATTTTAATACACTAGCGCATATCATAGAACTATGTATTAGAATAAACAAGAATAATCCTCTGTTTGTTACATAGGCTGAGCAACCAGGGTCTCTCTCTTCAGATTTCATTGCAGCAAGAACACAGCTGTGATTAAACTTGAAATTCTTTTAAGTCTACAGATGTTTAAAATACTAAATCTATCCCTTTGATTAGATAATTAATCCAGGAATGATTCGCTCTCCAGGTACCATTTACCCTTGAGATCTTGGTAAACACTAAAGACGTTTTAAGATGAACAAAATGTTCAATAATTCATTGGATACATACTGCAGTATTTCTTAATTCTATTAAGTATCTCACCTATGGTGGTATCAGAATTGTTTATTTTCACGGCATTTTTGTCAGCAAATAATCTTTTATACTCTGCTGGGGAAAGCATTGACTACGCAAAGTAAAGTGTCTTCCCTGACACTTTAGCTTTGGTTCATTTTCACTTGGAAAAAAACAAAATTGACCCAACCAAACCCAAAACAAGGAATCTTCCTCTCTCCTGCCACTAGATACCTGACTGCCTGCTCTTTTGCCCATGTTAAAACCTGCTGGAGCTACAGTACTTTGTGAGTGCAATTTTCTGTTCATTTAAGTGCAATGTTAAGCTGAAAAATTTTTACTGACATTCCTCGGCACTAGCCTGTTGGCTTTATTGTCTGATTCTAATGTAATCTTTTGTTTCTAAATTTAGAGATTTATTTAAATGAGTTTTTCTTGAAAATGCACAATCCTCCATCTTGAACTCTGAGTTTTCTGATTTTCCCTTCATAAAGATTTCTCAGAGCTTTCCACAATTAGTTTCTACAGAAAGGTCTGTGAAATGAATTAGCTTTGTAAGTGGTTGTGGTCACATAAATCAGCCTCGAGTTCTTCCTCTGTTTTTTTTAAAAGTGTGCTACAAAGCCCTGCATGAATATTTCTGTTTCTTTAGTAATCCTCTATAATAAAATCTTTAACAGCTTCTAACCCTTGTTCAACTTTAAGACAATAAGAAAGTAGCTAAAGTTATGACCAGATGCATGTGTTGGTGGCAGGTGGGAAGATGTTTTTCAGGAAAGTACCTTCTAAAAGATCTTGGATTTCCATAGTCTGGCTCTGCAGCTGTTGTAGATGTGCATCACCCTAGGAAGACCCATGCAATCATTTATGTTCAGTGTCATCTGCTGAGGATCTGGTCAACAGTTTTAAAATTTCCCTTGTTTTACAATTGAAAAATTGTAAATGAATCTCATTAGGAAGGAAAGTAAATGAGGTGCTGACCTGACCCAAACTGTTTTCTTTGCAAGAAGAAATGACAGTGTGACCTGCATCCTGTCTGTCCTGTGTCCATTCCCCTGCTGCTTTTACAGCACTCTGTGATCTGCCTGGCTCTAATGTACCAAACAGTGATGTATTTACATCAGCCCCTTTGACTTGTCTTCCTGTCCTTGTCAGCTTTGATAAGGTGTTTCTTTTAAAAAAACAAAACAAAACCATCAAATATTGCAAAATGCTGCTGCTTCTTGCTTGAATGTCTCTGATCAAAAAGTTTTCTTCTGTGGTATTAAGCTTCAAACATACCAAAACTTAGGTGGAGAAGCAGCAACACAAGGAGAAGCATGAAGTTGTGGTTTAGAGCAAACAGACTGCAAATTTCTATTTCCTTCTGTCTTCTGGATAATGAAAGGCATTTGGTAACTTGGAAATCTAAAAATTGATGTGGAAAAAGGGGGGACTGTGAAACTCATTACACCAGGAAGGTGCTAAAGAAAAACTGTGACCAACACTGGAATAAATCCACCTAAATAGATGCACTAAGCCCTAGTGCTTCAGGCTTTAAGGTCTATGAGAGGGAATGGTGAGAACTCCCAGTGTCTCCGAAATTGTTGAAAATGCTGACAGTTGGATCACAGCTTTCATCTCCGTCATGCTCTTCCCAGGCAGGTGCTTCAGTGCAATCCTTGGCAAACTGTTGGCTCCAGATTTAGACAAGTAGGTCCTTTCTATCCCTTATAGATGACAGTACCTGAAGGATAAGCAGTACCACCACGGGAATACACGCTGCCTTTAGTCATGCTCGTGTGAGCAGGTTATGAGCTTGTCTGTTTGTTCAGACATCGAATTCATATTGAATATCTCTGGGGAATTTAGTGCCTGACTCTCCCAGTACAATCCCAGAGCATTGCTTAATAAATGAGAAAGGTACAAAAGTAAAACCAAGAGATGGGAATATGTAGCTGGCTTTCACTCCAGGAACATGTGTATAAAGGAACTGGGAGTCAATAGCAATAAATAGGCTGGGAATTACAGCACTTCTGTACTGACATCTGTACTGCTGCCCTTCTAGGTTTTGAACTAACAGGATGTGAGCAGTTTCGATAATTTCTTCCTGAATCACACGACAACATTGTACTCGGGCAGCTCTACCTGTCTGCTTGGAATGGGAGCATTGCATGTGTGACAGAGAGAGATAAACAGGCTCTGATTTACTGTGCAACCCTTCTAGTTTTTTTAAGTTTATCAGCAAACTTTAAAATTCCTTTCTTTCCAATTTGCCAAGAGAAAGGAAAAAACCAAAAAAGTAGGATCGTGTACTACTCTCTTCGCCAAGAGCCTCAGGGATGTGTTCAGTAAGTGTGGTACAGCTGGCCTTATTCCTACAAATCAGCAATTCTGGCTTGGTCAGTTTGATCCTTTCCTAGTACCTCTTCAGACTTACTGTCTTTATACACAGTTATAATTCAGAGTGAGGAAACTATGTTCTTTCCCAGGAGAGTCCCATTTCTCGCTATGGATGTAACTGAATGGTGAGCTCCCACAGAATCTGTGTACATAGACTGGATGGCAAATCATTTGTCTTGACTGTAATTTCTGTAAAGATTGCTGAAACAAAAGATTTCAATAGCAGGAAATTGCCCAAGCTAGCCAGGGCTGCGTGCACTTCACAGAGAAGGGCTGGTGACCCAGCATTTTAAAATGCAGCATGTGACACAGGCAGGGAGGCTGGAAGGGTTTGTAGCTGTTTCCTTTTGGCTTTACCCAGGCAACATTTATTTTTCCTGTGGAACAGGTTTGGTAGTTTTCACCAGCAGTTTTTCAATTCTGAATGTTCATATGTTCACAGAAACAATGCCAGGTCTTAGATAAGTTACTTTAGAGGACCCAACCTATCATTGATGCATAAAGCAAAAAGACTGTGAGTGAGGAAAAAACCTTCGGTGCTGCTGCTTGCCAACAATCTGCTGATGATTTGGGAGACTGAGACTACAAGGTAAATCACTAGTGTCCTGCAGAATTTGTCTTTGTCAGGGCCAGAAGTTGAAGATGATTCTTCCAAGACCCACATCTGTGACTTTAACTGTTAAACGAGCTTTCTTCTGCCGTGTGGCAGAAGACACTTGACTGATAAGTCAACCTCCACATTTTCCAAAACAAACAAAAGCCCACGTGCTAAACCTCACCAGTAAACACGCTGGCAGACAGTTGACAGCTCCTATTGTATGTTTTAAAATGGTATTTGCACAATGCTGTTTCAATCAAACATTGGCTAGGATGTGAATGAAACCCTTCTACCCTGCCTGCACAGGGCCAGTTGCCTGCTCTGTCAT